TTAAAAAATTGAATCTATTTTAACAAAATAAAATGTCTGCATTTATGCCTAATGTTAGCTGAGACATACTGTTTGCTATATATTTGGTGTATTTCCTCTGGCTGTCCCAGAAGTTAGCTTTTTAAAAAATAGTTCACTTGTTGTACATTAGAATGTATTACAACTCATTAAGTATAATTTTGGTTTCTATATTTTTAGTTATGGCAGCTACTTGATCAATATTTAGGGAAAAAGGGTCTTAGTTTTAGGTGGGTGAAAGGGATGGAGAGCTAGAAAACATGGATAATAGCTGGTTGCAGTGTTTAAGGATAAATTGCAATCAGCTATTCAATAAACAAACAAACAAACAAAAAACACAAAATTCTGCCCAAGCCTGAACCACAGGGAGGAATTGGCTTATCTCTAAATCATATTGGGAAGACTGATGATGGAACTGTACTATGAGCTGACTGATAATGCAAACTTTCATTATCTATCAGAATAATAAAATGAAGCAAAATGTCAGCGGGCATCAAACAACAGTGGATGATGCCTCAGTCTTTGATTTTCGGGAAATTAGAGAAGTTTGTTAAATGAGAATTTTTAAAAAAGATGTCATCAGGGAGTAAATAATGGCATATTCTTATCAAGTTCAAAACATTTTCTCTGTGACCTGAGACATAGAGTTTATAAAAAGATAGGACAACTTGATTTTTTACCAAGGGTTGGGATGGGGCCTGGTGACTCTGTTCCAAGATGTAGGTGGGAAATGTAATTGGTTTTAATTAATCAAAGTAGTGCCAGAAAAGTGTTTACCGTATTACTAAGGGTTCTGAACTGTTCAAGTTTGTTTTAACAATTTCCTGTCCACCCCCACTTTCTCCTATTTTTTAAGTTTAAAGCCAAGAAAAATGAGGGAAAGGTGACTTCATGTTTTCCTTTTTGATCCAGCAACTTGTGTCAAGAGCTTGTAATTAAACAGAAGAGAAAATTCAGCAAGATGTACTTTGAAACAGAATTCTGTTTTTGGTAAAAAATAATATTTCATTTTAACTGAGTTCTAACTATTTGGCCACTTTTAAGTCAGATGTTTATAAATGATTGAAATAAGAATTAAAAGAAGACGTACAGCTTCTGTGCTAAGCTGGGAAGAAAGTAGACTAATATTTAGAAAACCAGAAGACTAGGCCCTGATCTGCCAGGAACAAGCTGAGTGATCTTGGGCAAGTCCTAGGACCACTGTCATTACTTCCTTGCTTATGACAATTTGACAAACATGATGGAAAATTAACTACCACTCAAGAGCTTGTTTACATAAAATTAAATAAAGTATTAGCAATTGGTTCTGATCACTTATTGTTTCAGAATTTGTGATTTCTTTGCACCGATTTTTTCTTTTCACTTAAGCTTAGTTTTTCTCGTGCTCTCTCCGGGTCAGAAATGGTATTATTGCCTTCTTGGGCTCAGCATCCAAAGTTGTTTGCCAAGATAACTCCTAGTTAGGAGTTAAAATTCTTACTCATTTAAAACCATTTTCTTGAATGTCAGTAAGGTAAGGTAGAAAGAGGCTGCTGTATTTAGAGTCAATAAAAATGATTTCATCCAAACTCCCTATCCAGCTAACTATAATCCCTTAAATAAGCCAACTAACCTTTTTATGCCTTAGGTGTCTCATCTACCAAAGAGAAAGAATGAGTTTTTAAAAGTAAATTATAATGATTAACAGATGAGTTATTTGACAAGTTAAAAGTACTATTAAATTGAGTTATTATTCATAACATAAGATTTGTGAAATATAGGGAACAGCTTCTGCTCTCTCAACTGGATACATGCAGAGGTGGCCTGTACAAATGTACGGTCACAAATCATTCTTGGAGTACTCATAACCAGTGTCCACCACCTTCCTGAAAGCCCAAATGAGTCCTGGTGCTATCCTCTGTGAAGGCAGAATTTCTCCAGTTAATAATCCAGGTCTAGTCTGTCCCAGTTGTCTGCAGTTTCCTCTGGTGCTGAGTAGTTGTGTGCCATATTAGAAAGGTGGCATTTCCATCCCGCTTACTGCAATGGCCTTCCCATAGCAGTGGATTCACTGGTCTCCTAGAGCCCTTAATTTGTCATATGGGAAACCCTTAGGAAGAGCGAGAAGCTGGATCAGCCTGCTTTTCCTCACAATTCTCTTCAGCCAGTATCATACTGAGTCACTAAAATACATGCTTCAAGATGGGACTGGAAAAGACGGCCAGCTCACGTTCTGGGCAGTGAGCACCATGTTCAGGGCGTTGAGTTCAGGCTTCTTGCTCCCAGAGTTTGGGTCTGTGAATCTTCATGGGTGGGCCCCAATGATGAGGTCATTCAGACACAGTCTGAACCTACGGGGTGAGTGTCTGGCATAGAGTAACTACTTCAACCTTTAAAAAATGAATTATCAAAGGATTCATATAATGTCTACTGAGTATGTATTTTATCTACAATTGAGAGAGATACATTAGAAGTACATGGCACTGTCCTGCACTAAATGTTGTCATTTCTTCCAGAAGATAAGGCTTGTGTATACAAAATATTTGAGCATTAAAGTGAAGGATTTTTAAGTGATAGAATTAATGGTTTAAAGTATAGGCTATAGGAATTCAAAGAAGCAGGAGATCAATGAGTAGATAACTTAGGAAGTAAAACTTAAGATAAAGTTCCTTAAGGTTTCTTAAGGGAAAGTAACTTAAGTTAGAAACCTTAAGTTTCTAATTCTACTTAAGGTAAAGTTTCACTTCCTGAGATATCTCCTTTTCCTAAGATATCTGGAAGTGGGATGAAATCTAGGAGGATGAAAAGGAGGTAGCATTCTAAGAAGTATCACCATCATAAGCAAACGTCTGGAAATGGAAATAGGTGTGTTTCCTTTACTCTTTACTTCTTGTTAATGGGGAATCACTGGAGGAGTATATTTAAAACAAAACAGGATTATAACATGTAATAGATATTATAATTTGTAGAAATACTCATAAATGTGTATAAAGATGTATGTGTAAAGATGTTGATTATTTGAAATAACAAAAATTTGAAGTAATTTAAATTCTATAAGTAGGGAAATGCTTAAGTCACTTACATTCCCACCATGACATACCAGAAAGTACATTCATGTGCCACATAATGATATTTTGTCAGCAGTGGACTGGATGCAAAATAGTGGTCTCTTAAAACTGTAATGCAACTGAAAAATTCCTGTTGTCTGGTGACATCTTGATGATCCTGACCCTGCATAGGACTAGACTAATGTGTTTATTTGTGCCTTAGTTTTTAATAACTTAATGTAAAATGTTAGTTTTGTTCTGTTTTGTTTTGAGACAGAGTTTTGCTCTTGTGGCCCAGGCTGGAGTGCAGTGGCATGATCTCAGCTCACTGCAGTCTCTGCCTCCGGTTCAAGCAATTCTTGTGCCTCAGCCTCCCAACTAGCTGTATTACAGGTGCGTGCCACCATGCCTGGCTAATTTTTTGTAGTTTTAGTAGGCATGGGATTTCACCAGGCTGCTCTTGAACTCCTGACCTCAGCCTCCCAAACTGTTGGGATTGCAGGCATAACCCACTGTGCCCGGCTGGCCAGATTTGTTTTTTTTTTTTTTTTTTTTTTTCCAGACAAAGTCTCTCTCTGTCACCCAGATGGAGTGCAGTGGCGCAATCTTAGCTCACTGCAACATCCGCTTCCCGGGTTCAAGCAATTCTTTTGTCTCAGCCTCCCAAGCAGCTGGGATTACAGATGCATGCCACCACGCCCGGCTAATTTTTGTATTTTTAGTAGAGACGGGCTTTCACCATATTGATCAGGCATGTTTAGAACTCCTAACCTCAGGTAATCCACCCACCTCGGCCTCCAAAAGTGCTGGGATTACAGGTGTGCACCACCATGCCCCGCCCAAAAATATTTTTAAAAACAATTTTTTAAAAGCTTATATACTAAGGACATAGAGAAAATATTTTTATATAATTTAGACAAAATGTTTATGTTTTAAGATAAATGCTATCACAAGCATCAAATAGTTTTTTTTTTTAATTTAAGTTTATAAAGCAAAAATTATAGTAAGCTAAGGTTTATTATCGAAGAAAGAAAACTTTTTTATCAGTTTAGTGTAGTGTAAGTATACAGTGTTTACAGTGTACAGTAATGTCCTGGGCCTTCACAATCACCCACCCCTCACTCACTGACTCACCCAGAGCAACTTCCAGTCCTGTGAGCCCTATTTGTGGCGAGTGGCCTACATGGGTAAACCACTTTATATCTTTTATATGGTATTTTTCCTGTACCTTTTCTATATTAGGTATGTTTAGATTCACAAATACTATTGTTTTATAATTTTCCTACAGTGCTCAGGACCTTAACATATTACACAGGATTGTAGCCTAAGAGCAATAGGCAATACCTAATAGCCTAGCTGTGTTGTAGGCTATCCCGTCTGTGTTTATATAAGTACACTCTGTGATCTTTGCACAATGATAAAATTACCTAATGATGCATTTGAACATTTCTCAGGGCGTATTCCTGTCAGGAAGCAATGTATGACTGTAGTTGAGAAGAATGAAGTAAATCTCTTAGTGCTGTCCTAGAAAGACCATCACAGAAAGAAATGACAGTAGATTAATGGAAAGAATGCATTCTTATAATATTGGTTACCTTTGAAAATTGATGTTTAAAAATCAAAGTGGCATTTCAGGAAGATTGATGTGGTGATACCGTGTCAAATTAAAAGGAGGTGATTGGAAATGAAGAGGGATATTGGGAAACGGGTGTATGAGTTTAGATATCCAAGGCCAACAAGGAGGACCTGAATGGTAGAGAGAGAGAATGTAAAGGCATCCTAAAGAATGGTTGCAAAGGACTTCATGACAGTTAATAGGGTTGAAGGAGAGAGAAGAGGAAAGAGATTTCCAGGTTGAAGCTTGGGAAATACACATAAAAGAGTTATTTCTGCAACTTGAGTGGATCCATGTTAACCAGAAACCTTTAAGAAATTCTTCATGTTTTTGTTTCTCAGGATGGAAGAAACAGTACGAAATCTATTGCAGAGTCAAGGATCTCCAGAGCAGAAAAAAGAAGACACCGTTAATATAATGGTCTATCAGGTACAGCATGTTTATTACTCTTGGCCGGCTACTGGTCTACTTGTTTTTCTCATATTTCTCTAGGTTTGTCCTTTCCGACCCAGAGATAATAAAAGGTATGTTCCAGACCCCAGTGCTAGGAGCCACCTAGTCACCTCTGGTTTGAGGAATCATATACATGTTTATTCAATTCATTCATTTCTTAAACTCCTACCGTGAAACAGAGTGTAGATTTGATTCTAGGAATATGAAAAAAAAAAAAAAAAAAAAAAAAAAAAAAAAAAAAAAAAGCCTATGGTGAATGAGAGAGACTTGTAAAAGCATTGCAGTACTCTGTGGCCAGGACTAAAGACAAGTGTTTACAGCATTCTCTGGGAACACAGGAGAGAGAGTGCCTCATCCTGGCTGAGGAGTTGAGGAATAAATACTTGCCAGAGGTGTGATATTTAAGGTGGGCTTGTGGAACACAGAACGCAGTGAAAGGCATTTCAGGTAGAAGGGGTGCTTAGGTAAAGGTGCAGTGATGTGAACCTTCACAACAGGCTTGTGGAGAATAAGCAACTCCACATAATTAAGTAATGACCCGGAAATAAAAAGTTATAGTGAGACTGAGAGTGGAGGGAAGACCTAGATTAGGTCTGGGGTGTATGCAGTGCTTCTGGGTCTGGACTTGCACCTCAGGCAACAAGGAGTCTAAGGAGGCTCAAAGAGAGTAAGCAGTCAGTGAAATAACAGGTCTTTGTCTTCTTCTGATAACCTTTATCCCATTGTCCTTTAACACTAGCAACACTGCCAGGCTAGGAAGCAGGACATCTAATCTCAGTATGGTCCAGGTTGCCTACACAGGTGAGAAGGCTCTGGTACAGTAGAAAAGGGAAATACAGTAGAAACAGCACTGTATATAGATATATATAGATAGATATAGATAAATTTCAGACTTCTACTGAAAATCACTTCAAATCACAAATAGAGACCCAGAATCCACTGCACAACTATGTATGGAAAGGTTAGAAAAGCAAGGACATTGGTGGAAATGTAAGGTCATCACTGGGAAGCCCTAGGTTTTTGCTAGCCAAAAAGCCAGTAGATACAGGAAAGCAAGCATAGGGACCCAGATGATTGGTGTAACATGGCATTAGCTTACCTGAATTCATGAGTTCAGGGCTCTGCAACCCAACTGGTTGTGAAAAGGCATTGGGAGGAATATGGTAACACAAGTAAAAGTAATTAACTCCAGATAGATTAAACACTTAAACACAAGATCTAACACCATAAAAACCCTAGAAGAAAACCTAGGCAAAACCATTCGGCACATAGGCATAAGCAAGGACTTCATGACTAAAACACCAAAAGCATTAGCAACAAAAGCCGAAATAGACAAATGGGATCTAATTAAACTCTGGAGCTTCTGTACAGCAAAAGAAATAATCATTAGAGTAGTCTGGCAACCAACAGAATGGGAAAAAAATTTTGCTATGTCCTAAATGGTTGACTCTTATAATCTACACAGGGCTACTTCAAGAAGGTTGTAAGAACTCTTTCCTATGTGCAGTGAATATCATGCAAGGAGGGGACTTAAGCTACCTCAGAAGAAATTAGCTTCCTAAAGACAGTGGAAAAATCACTAAGATCCATTTCTAGAGAAAGGGCTTAGATTCTTCTTGAAAGGGCGGTCTTGACAAAGGGAAGGCATGCTCAGCATTTCCTGATGTGGGGTCACCTAAAGTTAGGAAAAAGTTTTCAGTCCTACCAGCTCTGAATTCTTCCTAGATATTATATCTGCTTTACTACAAAGTTGAGGTGTAAGTAAAAAATGGAACTCAGTTCTGCATTGAATGGTTCGGTGCAGCCTAAAAGGTTCGTATAGATCTGTGAAAGTAAATTATTTTTTCCCCACCCCAGGTAACAGCTGGCTTCATTAGAACTAAATAATCAGGCATCACTCTTGGGCTCTATTTGATTTCTTCATGGTGGATCTCTTTCATTCAGATTCATATTTTCTTTTGCTTATTCTCTTCTGAGCTCTTTACCAGTTATTAGCCAAATCTGTGGTGTAGCCATTTAACATCAGCAGCAGCATTCATTTTGTGAAACTGGAAGATGCTTAGAAAAACAGGCTTTAAGAAATGTGTTTTACAACTATTACCTCTCCATAACGCGGTCTGTTTGTTTTGGGAAATTAACTCTTCCCTCTAGGGAGAAGACAGTCATTAACTTGAATTAATGCTACATGGTAGGGATGTTTCAGTCATTCCTTTAATTGGCCTCAGGCTCCTTATCTATAAAATGGGAGAGGAAGGTGGGTTACATGACCTATAAAGTTTCATTGTACATTTAACAAACATTTACTGAACTTCTCATATGCAGTAGGGACAGCCTCGTGCCCTGGGCATTAAGGAAATGAGAAAAGAGAGAAGGGCAAGTGATGCTGGGTGGCTCCAAGTCCCAGGGAGTGCCCCTTCATCTCACAGAGTCTGTTATTCTAAATAAGGCTAGTTGTAGCAAAATAGTTTATGCAAGATGCATGCATGGTGATACTAGCCGAGCGCATACTTAACACCTCCCTGCTGCCAAATTCTGCTTTTTGGGCAAGAGCTGGAAAATTTGTTGCTTCATAATATGGGGTGTCATTAGCACGCCTGTCACAGATTTTCCAACTTCCAAGATTTCTCTGAAAGGAACCAGACCCGTATAAAGCTTAGGCCTCTGGGAAAGCAGGAGTTAGTTTCATTTTCCACTGTGGTAGAAGTGTTTGTTCTGAGTCTTTTATCATTGAGCTAATATAATAATAGCAGAGTAATAGCTTTCTGTGTTCCAGGCCCCTGCTAATTGTTTTGCATGCGTTAAAGGTAGTCATATTTTGTTCAGGGGTATGTTCCCGAAGACCTTTCATAATTTGTTGCTTGTATAATTTACAGCTTGCATAATTCAACATGGATTCTCTCAAAGGACAGTGGGTGTTTTCTGTTCAGCCACTGAGACGGTCACACTATGTGGTAATCAGTGGTTTACAGTTTACCAACTTTGCCATTTTTGACCTTTTTTTAATTGGGGAGTTTGCATGATTTCAAGTTTTGTGCACGAAGTGACATTAAGAACATTTTCATGTGACCACAATTTCAAATTTGCCCCATTCAGAGCCTCAACAAATGTGACTAGACTGTAGCTCATTCTGTCTGCACAATAATTTTGTGTAGGAGATGCCCTTACTATCCCTATCTTACAGGTGTGGATATAAGCCCAGAGAGGTGAGTGCTTGCCTAAGGATGTACAACTAAGAAGTAGCCTAGAAGGGTTTTGAACCCTGGTCAGTCTGATTCTACAGCATTAGCTCTTCCAGAGAGATTACATGACAGGGCCCAAGTTAAATGATAGGGCTGCTTATTATCTACACTGAGACCTTGAGAACTGAACCTGGGCCTTTCCACTTTCTTTTTTTTTTTTTTTAGATGGAGCTTTGCTCTTGTTGCCCAGGCTAGAGTGCAATGGCGCAGTCTTGGCTCATTGCAACCTCTACCTCCCAAGTTCAAGTGATTCTCCTTCCTCAGCCTCCGAGTAGCTGGGATTACAGGTGCCCGCCACCACTCCTGGCTAATTGTTTTTGTATTTTTAATAGAGATGGGGTTTCACCATATTGGCCAGGCTTGTCTCAAACTCCTGACCTCATTATCCACCTGCCCCAGCCTCCCAAAGTTCTGGGATTTTAGGTGTGAGCCGCCACTCCCAGCCCTGCTTTCTATCTAGAACTTGCTCCATTCATTCCTCTGTTCATTTGCTCACTCATTTATTCAAATGCCAGTTATTTATTTACTTTCTTATCTAAGTGTATTAGTTTCCTATTGCTGCTGTAACAAACTTGGTGGCTTAACACAATTTATTCTCTTATAATTCTGAAAGTCAAAAGTCCAAAATAATAGTATTGGTCAGGCTACATTCTTTCTGGAGGCCTCCAGGGATAAATGTTTCTTTGCCTTTTCCAGAATCTAGCATTCCTTAGCTTGTGGCCCCCTTGCCTCTGTCTTTCCAGTCAGACTCTCCAACCCCTGGTTTCATCATCACATCTCATTTTCCTCTCTAGGGTCCATCTTACAGGGACCCTGTGATGATGTGGAGCCCAACTGGGTAATTCAGGATAATTTCCTCATCTTGAGATCCTTAAGTTGATCAAATCTGCAAAAGTCTCTTTTGCCACATAAGGTAACATGTGCTCTCAGATATCCAGGACTGGGATGTGGACATGTTTTGAGGGTAGGCATTATTCTATCACACTAAGTAGCACGTGTTAACTTAGCAGGCTGGTAGTATCCAGAAGATATTGGTTAAGTACCAGAGATGCAAAGATGCCTGACACAGGTCCTTTCTTGAAATGCTTAGTCTATAGGATGCTGGGGAGTAGAGAGATAATCACATATATTCAACAATGTAATAGAAGACAAAATAGAAGCTTGCATACATTCTGAGGGCACAAAGGAATGTGTCATGCAGCTCACTGTTCTCCCTGGAGGCTCTGCCTCCTGACTCAGACTTATTTTTAACAATCCACTTCTCTTTTAGTCTCTTTTGTCTCTTGAAATGGACATGAGAGTCATGTACTTCCCCATGAGTTCCATGGCCGGCCTTTCTCAGAGCATCTTATGTTCCCTGTTCTGGGACCATGTCTGATTATCAGGGCACATATGCTTGGTGCTTTATAGTTTACTAAGCACTTACACAAAATGGATCTCAATGCTTGGTGCTTTACAGTTTGCAAAGTACTTACACAAAATGGATTTCATGTTTTTCTTCCAACAGCCTCTAAAGTACGTATTTTCGGGCTCATTTTTTGATGAGGCTCATATGGGTCTCGGATCTTCAGGGAATGGGATGTGGATATCTTTTGAGAATGAAGTCGCAAATGCCAAGTGCTAGAACTAGAAATTAATCATAGATTTTCCTATATGAAATACTTGAAATTAAACTGAGCAGTTATCTGTGGAGTATTTTGATGGTGTGGTGGAAAGTGGGCACAGTCTAAAATCTCA